TTGATTGAATTCTTGTGATAGTATAACAAGACGTTTGTTGAACACGAAGGCGGCTCTCATCAAACTGGAGACCCCTTTAAACGGGTTTAATAGACCGCCTAAAAGGGGTCGACCGGAGTTCTGGAGCCGAGGCGATCCCATCAAGAGATTCCACGCATTCTACAGGACTTCCCAAAGACTTTGCCAACAAATACTTACCAATGATATGGACTTATTTGATGGACAAGAGTGTGAAAAGTATTCATTTCATTGACATTGTGTTCAAGAATTTAGAGAATTTTTATTCATATTCTTCTCGTAAATAGAGTTAAGAATGGATTGGATTTGCTGGTCGACAGTCTTCTGGAGTTATATGAGATAATTGAGCGCCAATTCCAGTGATAATTACAAATGCAATGATAGTCAATGTGTTTGACGTATATTTCGGGTTTAATTTGTGTCAAAATGATCTCAAATTATGTTTAATATTGTCGTGAATTCCATGCGAGCTATGGATGAAGAATGTTATCCACAGATGTCTTTCAATTGATGCCATTTCTGTGTCCAATTGTCGCACAATTACTGCCATTAAGAGTACAAATATGGTCTCAATTCCTACAGAATATTCTGTAATTATTTATATTACAGGTATTTGTATTGAAATAACTGTAAACCAAAGGCAACACAATTAACAGTCGATTTATTGAACAAAAATAAATATAAGTTTACAATAAAATTATTTATAAACAATACTATAACTAATAAATTATTTATACAATTAATTAACGATCGATAGATTGCACTCAACATAACATTTGATATCAATTTTGTTTTTCATAATAAAATAGAAAATATTATAACAAATCATAGAATTTTTTGAATTTTAAAAACTAATAATTATTTTTATAGTATTTGTTTTAATCACATGTAAAACGGAAACGAAAAACTTTTTTCTATAATAAATTTTGCTTTGATTACAACATCTATTGAAATATAATTTCATTTTTTGTATTTTCAATGGTATTTCTCATTAAGTCTTATCCAATGTTTGGGTCCTTTTGTCCAAAAAAGTGTTTTTAGTTTTGAAAGTTTTGTACATTTTATAAAAATTTTATATCTTTTTTCGTATTGTGAATAAAACTATATTTATATTGTTTTTTGTTGATATAAATTTTAGGGGCAAATAATTGTATGATTAGTTTTGTCGCATAAAATCCAATTAAATGGTTATTATATCGAGTGTCAGAGGGTTTGCCATTAGATTAGTGTATCGTTTTTTGATTGATTAATACAGGAATGGTATGCTTTGAAATCAATTAATAATAATCAGTAGTATTACTCATATTTGGGTTCATTTTGTTGTTTGTCTCACAATTTAATTTAATAATTATGTAATAGTTTTTTCAGTCGATTTTTGTTTGATATATAAATAACAAGTGTTTTGGTGTTTGAATGACTTATTAAATAATCTCGTATTTTATACAAACAAATAATTATAAGTCGATTGAAGTCATCAATCCATGCAATACTTTACAACACGTTTCACACAAACATTATCGGAGAATATATTTATATGTGTTTTATATGTATAGTAGAGAATAAATACAGAATTTTTTTGTTTGTTTCTTATATTTATAAACATCTCAATAGTCGTAACATTTTTGGAGATATTGTTTGAAATAAAAGTTTTTCATATCTGGAGACAAATATATATTATTATTAAATGTATGTTTAAATCTGTATTTCCAATGGGTTTTTGAGAAAACAAAGTTTCTATACTTTTTATACGCCTTTTGAGAGACATATTTATGTGGTTTTGAAAAACTCTTTATTATTTATATATTTATAATTAATTAATTTGTCGTCGAATTTGTTTATATTTCCTAAAAAACTCTCACATTTCCTATAAATACGTGAATTTTTTAAATATAATAAAAACTTAAAAATATTTGTGTGTTTTGAACAAAATAACAATTGACTAGATATTCATTGAATTAATAAATAATATAATAATCAGTAATTTGTTTACCGAAACCTGTTCTCCAAAATCCAAACTTTTGTTTTAATCAATACTTATGTTTTTGTGTCTTATTTATGAAATATTCATATAAATTATATATAAATAATAGTGAAAATTATAAAATTATTATCAAAAATAATAATCTAAACCAAAAACATCACTAGAATTCAGTAAATGAGTCATTAATTCGCAGAGAATTGTAATTTTCACAAAAAATCAAATAAATTAATCACAAAATATAATTCAATGGAAAGAAATCTGGAATTCTTGTGTAAAGTCTAAGTTTTAATAGACTTTTAACGGACAATATATACGAAATATTTTGCCTAAAAATTTTTGAAAACTAATATTGTGTCAGAAATTCTGAATAGAAAACTCTGAATGCATTGCTATTTAGTAATACTGTAAGCGTTAGTCGTATTGGAGAACAAATACTGAGAGAAAAGCTATAAAAACAGATCCAAAAAAGGCTTAATTATAACTGAAAGCATGAAAACAATCGTGTGTTTCATAAGGATATCGGGACTTACTGTAAATGACTAGACATTAGACATAACAATGCGTTTGAAAAATCAATTATATCTTTGGTATGAATAGCTGTTTGTGTTTTGGATATATCGGCGGAGATTAGAGATTAGTGTCGGATTAGGCCTGAGATATAGGTGGAGTCTACTTGTCTTTGGTGTTGCCGGTGACGGGTGGGGACGACACGGGAGTGATGTCGTCGTGGAAGAGTGGGTTCTTGACCTCCATCTCGCCGGTGGGCGCCAGACCCGGGCACTCGTAGACCGTATACTCTCCCTCTTCGTTCTCCTCATCGCTCTCTACATCGGAGGCAGAGTTGCGACGAGTGGTTACGGCTCTGCACAACAATCAACGGACAGGTATTATATAAGTGTCGCAATTATCATAATTGGGAACTGGAGGTCCACCCGATTTAGACGATTGTGTCGTAACAAGTATTTATGGTCTGACTCTTAAATGGAGACATTTAATGACTTATTCCTCTGAGTTATATCCGGTGTCCAGACATTAATGTCAATTGATATTCAATTGAATATATGAGTGGTTTATATGATAATTGTCTGTATGTCGAGAATTCTGTGGGTCTAAGAATTGAGTCTATATTTCCTATACTTAAATATTTGACACTAAATACGAGTTCTGACACAAACGCCAGTGCCGTGTATGGAGTGGACGGGCAGTGAAAATGGACAGTTGTCTCATACTTTTCGGATGCAATCATCTGTTGCTTCTGGTGGTGGTAGTGATACATTTGGGCGCTTTGGGCTAACTTGCGGTCACCGCTGGGCGACAGTTGTCCACTACCCGGTTGGCCCTCTTTGCTGACGGGCCCCACCACCCCGTAGGCCGGGTAGTCGACGTCGGCGGCGGCCTTATTACTTTGTTGCACTTTGTAGACACAGATACCGGCGCCGATCACCCCGAATATGGCGACGGCGCTCACGCAGGCGACGATCGCTGTGTGGGAACGGTAGGCAAGAATCCGTTAGAATAGTGTTTCTCTCTATTGTATAGCAATGGGTATTATTTGGCCACGAATTTCAAGGTTGACTTCAGGACTCAATTCAATGCACTTTCGTCTCATTGATCCGAAAATCGATGCGATGGTAGAGCTGTGTGTTTAGTGTGAGTGGAAAGGGATGCCAAAGGATTGGTAGGCGAGAGCTCTCATTCTGTGTGTGCTATCCTTCTATATACCACAGAATATTCTATATATATATTCTATAGTACTGTTAGGAATCCATTCATAACACAGAGTGAATGTTTTAAACCCAGTGTTAGTTTAAGGCAAATGTTTAGTTGGCTTTCAAACTAATACTCAACAAAATGTGAAAATAAAATCTCAAAACGAATTATGTTTTTATGAGAATTCAATTGAAAAACTCGAGTCTCGACTCCGAAAGTGGGAAATTTTTTTTTCTTTTAGTGATTTTAGATTTTATTTTAGGCCGAAAAAGCGTAACAAATATGAAAAATAAACATTTGTTTTATGTTTGCTTTTCGCTTAATATTATATATCGAAAGCTATCATAAAATTGTAAATATCATAAAAAACTGAAATCATTTGATGAATAAATAAAATGTTTTTTCTATTTCTATAAATACATTGATTTGGTGGCAAATCCTGTGAAATATGATTTTTAGCTCTCATTTCCCCGAAAAGACATCACATCTCAGACCAATTGAAATGAAAAACTTATTATTTGTGAGAATTAATCACAAAAATAAGTCTAAATTATTAAAGGCTTAAGAATTGGTGTGAAGTTTAGCGCAAATAATAGGCAAAAGTATTCTTACTTTTCAACAACTTTTCTACGATTTTTGAGCTAATTTTGAGTCCAATTTTCGTATTTCACACATCAGTTCATTAAATGTGAATTGAATTGACTATAAAAAGCCTTACATTTCCCGACACACTATGAACTGATGCGTGAAATATTGAAATTGGTTTCAAAAATTAGCTAAAATGCCGTAAAATCAGATAAACGCGAAGAATATGAATACTAACCGACAAAATAGATATCACCTAAAGATCCGTTTGAGTCGTCATTCAAAGAGTTGGCGTTTTGTTGAATGGCTAGNGAAATTGGTTTCAAAAATTAGCTAAAATGCCGTAAAATCAGATAAACGCGAAGAATATGAATACTAACCGACAAAATAGATATCACCTAAAGATCCGTTTGAGTCGTCATTCAAAGAGTTGGCGTTTTGTTGAATGGCTAGAGGTATGGGAACGGCATTCCTGTGGCCCGACTGCAGGGCTGAGGTTTGCATCAGATTTTCATTTGTGGCCGATTTTCGGCGCATAACCGGAGGACTGAACTCAATGTCGTTCAACACGTCTTTGTATTCCTCGTCGGTTGCGGTCAACGGTCTGGAGAGCCGCTGCTGTTCGGCACTGACGTCGCGGACCCTATCGGTCGTCCGGAAAGCCGTCGTCTTGAAGAGCGTCGACTTCTGCCGATTGGTGTCGTGTTTGTCATCATTTGGTCCTAAATTGTATTTCGCGGGCCTTTTGTGTTGATAGTCATCGACGACACGACTGTCCACCGAATCGGCGCTCGTGTCGTACGTTTGGCGACCATTGAGTGCATTGTTGTATGAAATGGTCTGTTGTCTGGCTGTCGGCCAAAGTCTGTTCACAATCTCCGGCCTATTATTCGTATATTTGATTTGATATGAATTCCGCGCATTGTTTGGATAAATGAATTCTTGAGGTCTTTGTACGAGTTGTGGGCTATTATACGAAGGAATGTAATATTCACGCTCTCCTACAGTAGGCTTTCCACTGTCACCGATTTGCGGCTTATTATCAGTTTTGGCTAAATTAGCTGTCAATCAGAATAATACGGAATATTATATTTATTTATGATTTTTATATAAAAGTTATTTTTATGACTATTTTTATGAGATTAAAATGACATAAATTACTGTCAGAAGTGTTGTAAAACTCATTGTAAATCAAAACCATAGATAAGAATTGTGTGTAATTTCAATGGAAATACAGATTATAAGGATATGATGTAAATGTGTTTATCGTATTCCCTGTAAAAGTAATGAACTCTAAATCTATAATAACTTCTAATGCCTTTCCACTGAAATCAATGAAAACTTAATGACTTTTTTATTAAATTAATTATTTTGTTAAACGAGTTATTGACTAAAAAACTCTGAATTAAACAGTAATTTTGTATCGATTTTGTTGTTTATATAATTCATACGTCTATAAGATTTATATAATACTCTCAGTAATAATCTAATGCTTACAGAATAATACAGAATAACACAGAATAACACAGAATATCCGCTTAACTCGACTTCACTACAGACTAAGCCATGAGAATATAATTTGATTCCTATATATAAACGTCTCAATCGATTAAGTTATTCATTAAACTTAATTTAAATGTATTTTTCTATACATTCATTTATTTAATAAACAAAATCCTGAAAGTTTTGTGTGAATAACACATCTCTCGCATATCCTAAAGGCCTGAATAAATGAATAGTTGTTTATCTTATACACAGAAGTCTATGAGTTTTCTCTCTCTCTCTCTCTCTCTCTTTATGTAAAGTATATGCAGAATATTCTGTATATACTGTATAATGAAATTAATAATAGAAATGTGTTTTAATTGAAGCAAATCGCGAAGAATAGAAGGAAAAGAGTATTTGAAATGAATTTTATTTAAATTGTGAAAACATGACACAAAGAGTACTCCGTTTTGTCCGTTAAATTCACTTCAATTCCTCAGAGTTTTCTCCATTCGTTTGAAATGAGAAGTTTGAGAGCAAATAAAAGCATTCATTGAATGGATAGAAACATAAGTATAAATATTGTCTATTATAGACTATAATATAGTATTGATTATAGCGAGTGAATACAATCATAGAAATGAGATGTACTTGTCGTTAGTGTTACAATACATGCAGTACTTGAATACCGACTCATAAGACCTTTAATGGTATTTACCATTTCATGTACACTACCTTTCCATTACGGGAATTATATTCAATTTCACACTAATTGTATACTTGTAACGAAATATAGTTAATTTAAAAATCTTTTTATAAAAACCTGTAAATGTTTAAAAACATTTATATATTATATTTTTGACACAAAAATGTGTTATTCTAATAGAGAATACGCGAGAATTATGACAAGAATATAGTGTTTTATAGTATTATATAAGAATATATGAAATATCATACGTTAGTAATCAATATACGACTAGTGAATGGAAAGGCAAATGAGATTACTATCCATAGGATCGCCCACTCCTTTCGCAAACACTTATTCCCAATATTCTTGATGTGAACTCAATTGAGAATCTGTTGTGTATTTCGTTTAAACCTAACCTGAATTCTGACGAATAAATTGAGTTCAAAACACAAATCTCTGTTCCCTTTCTTTGTTCATAAAAAATATTGTAATTATTTTTTGTATAAATTACTAGTTTTGTAGTAATTTAGTTGTAATTCTGTGTAATTCGTTAAATATGTTTTTCTTGTTTTAATTAAACAAATCATTAAACGAGTGAAAACATAAAATAAAAGTAATGTAATTGTTACGTAACAACTGTTTAATGCATATATAAAATGTAATAAATTCTTTACGTAGAATATTCTAAAAATAAATAAAAAATATTTTTCAATCAATAAATAGGTATAAGTTATGTATGAATTACGGGCACACTATCGGTGAACAACAGAATTAACAGAATATTCTATGCATTCTCTAACGCATAATCTCTAAGAGCAATAGTCTCTTTTTGTTAAAATAAGTAATTTTGTCCTTAATTTAGGGTTTACTAAGCATTGAAATTAGGATTTATAATCCGTTTATAAGAGAGTAACAAACTCAGGAACTTAGCAGTTATGATTAATGAGAAGACAATTGCCTCCGAAAACGTACCATATTAAACTTCGCGTTTACAAACCGGAATATAAACCCAGTGATAAATTATAAATCACATTAAAATTTGATGATAAATGACATTTACAGAATTATCCGCAGATTTATTTGTCTTATAAGACACTATATATCTGTGTGTGAATCTTATTTACCAAACGGAGCGAAAGAGTTTTAATGGTTTTATATGGCATTCATGTACTGTTAAGGCCTTTAAAATGACTGTTAGTTTGTGAGCTATAAATCACACGAAAATAAGCCTACATTTTATCGACAGATTAAATATTCAGCAAAATATCGTAAATCATTGAGATTTAGACATCATATGTATCGAAAGGTTACGCGTTATTCATATGAATGTCTGTTTTAAAGGCTAAACAAGTGTTTGGGTTAACCCTTAACTGTCGGCAACTTTTCAATTGTTTGATTCAATGGTATAACTGGTGTTGAGGTTCAAGGAATGGGTAATAGAAATGAATTGATTAGACACTCGCTAATGATTATTAGCCGTCAAATACACGGCAAACATATTGTGCCGTATTTTTGGTGGCAAACAGATTAAGAGTGAAAAAGTAATTAATTTAAGTTTCATTAGTTTCCTAACGAGTCGTCAGTTATAATGATGTGAACGTATGGCAAGGATTCTTGAATTCTTGTGATTCTTATAGTGTTTTAAACTGAGAATCGAGAATAAAAAGACACAAACGATAAATGGATTGTTAATAAAGTATAACAAGAATACGATTCTCTATGTCTTAATGTATTTTCTCTGTGGATATAATCACTATTTATGACCATTTGCTGCAGACATAGGCAAAGGGAGACATAAATCTCAATCTCAACACAATTATTAATTTTGGGATAAAGAGAATTAAACTCTATATACGAGTACTCACTATATTGTGCACTATATATAGAAAATACTTATTGATTTGATTACACCTATAGATAAGACAAGAATCTAATTATATTTAGTGTATATTTATTTGTTTCGTACAAAACTTTCTAATATGTAATGCCTTATTAACCTTCATTTGCCAGTCATTACAGTATTTGCTTAGAATATATAGTTAAGTGTAATAAACGGCATAATTGTGTTGGATATGAGGTATAGAGTGATGTGTTTAGTAAACAATATCCCAATAGTACTGTACAACCAGTAGTTATACAACCACTATATATATGGCATATAAAAACACCCATTAATTGTGAAATAAATTGGTGTCTGTTTTTCTCAAACATAATGTTAGGCTAACAAACATAAGGTAATATTATTTTCAATATTATATATATTGCTATAAATATCGGTGAGAATTGTGTTCATAAATGGTTTGATAGATATTATTGATTACCAAACACTTTGAGTACTAATGGAAAAAGTAGGCCTATCCTACACATATGAAAATTGATATTAACTTATATTTTCAATACTAAACACTTGAATCGTTATAATAACAAAATTGATTACAATTCCCGACTGCGCTCAACAATTATAGGGATAGGCACTGGTAGGGGAACGGCAATTATGATTTTCATATAACAATGTTTCATATATGACATGACATTAGCCTTTTCTTTTGATTATAGCCACCGAAAAAAATATTCATTAATTTCTACGAGAATAACAAAAATCTAATTATGATATACATTAGCGCCGGCATTGTCTGGCATTAGGTTTGAGTTATCGTCAAATATGATGCCTTCGTATGTGGCACTCAGTTGGCAAACAATCGCTTATATAATGTACGGTCAATAGTGTACGGAATATATGCCATAATTCTTATATAAGCTTTGAATTTAAAATTTGAAAAAATTTATTCGCGATAAGGGTTTCGCGAAAATGGTTGGACAGGTAAGCGCTGGCAGTGATTACGTGGGAACCACTCGTATAGCGAGTGTTGAAAAACATACGGAATATATCGTACAGAATATGTTAGACATTGGGTATAGACTTACAGTGCGGTTGCGATCGACCGAATCGGCACAAGAATGCGATGATTAAAAACAAGAGTAGACTGACTGTTCGCATGGTCTGCCCCGACCCCCGGCCACCACTAGAATCCAGTTGTGTTTAAGACCAGTAATCTCGTGGATAATTAACCAAAAGGTAGTGCGGATGGCATCGCTCTAACCGTTTCAATCAATTTCCACCATTTTTTGCGAGTCTTTCGTACGTCTGGTGGCGAAAGTGTTGAGAAGTTTACTGTTTATCCGTCAGCCCCAGTACGGCGACCGGAGGGTGCACTTCATGAACACCCGGAAGCGGGGCATCAATATGTTGATCAACATTATGTCGCGCTTCGGCTGTCACGAGGAGACCGCCTCCAACATCAACCACAACGAGAGGCTTGAGTTCTTGGGCGACGCCGTCGTGGAGTTCATGTCCTCCATTCACCTCTACTTCATGTTCCCGGACCTCGAGGAGGGAGGTCTGGCCACGTATAGGGCGGCGCTCGTCCAGAACCAGCAGTTGGCTGTGTTGGCCAAGAAGTTGTCGCTCGAGAAGTTCATGCTTTACGCGCACGGGTCGGACCTCTGCCACGACCTCGAGCTCCGGCACGCGATGGCCAACTGCTTCGAGGCGTTGATGGGCGCCCTCTTCCTGGACGGAGGGGTCGAAGTGGCCGACAGAGTCTTCTCCAACACGCTGTTCGCCGGCGAACCCGCTTTGCTGGACGTGTGGCTCCATTACCCGCAGCACCCGCTCCAGAGTCAGGAGCCGGACGGCGACCGCCATTACATCGAAACCATTCCGCGCCTCAAAGAACTCATTCGCTTTGAAGACATCACAGGCATTGAGTTCAGACACATCCGACTCCTGGCGCGCGCCTTCACTCACCGCAGCGTCGGCTTCAATAACCTGACGCTGGGGTCCAATCAGCGCATGGAGTTCTTGGGCGACACTGTGCTCCAGTTGGTGGCCTCGGAATACCTCTATAAGTACTTCCCTGAGCACCACGAGGGACACCTTTCCCTCCTCAGGAGCTCTCTCGTCAACAACAAGACTCAGGCCGTCGTTTGCGACGATCTGGCGATGACTTCCATCGCTATCTATAACTACGCGAAGGGAGAGCTCAAGACGAAGGACAGGGCGGACCTGTTGGAGGCCTTCCTCGGCGCCCTCTATGTGGACAAAGGGCTGCTGTACTGCCGGGCCTTTTGCGAGGTTTGCTTTTTCCCGCGTTTGGAGCACTTTATTATGAATCAGGACTGGAATGACCCGAAGTCTAAGCTCCAGCAGTGCTGTCTAACCCTCAGGTCAGTGGATGGCGGAGAACCAGACATTCCTCTCTACAAGTGAGTCACCATTGGATCAGTCCATCAGTTGTGGTCATATATCATGCATTGAACTCATTGTCTGTCTGTCTGTCCCCCTATAGAGTGATTGAGTGCAGGGGACCCACGAATACCCGGGTCTATGTGGTGGCCGTCTATTTCCGCGACCAACGACTGGCCACCGGAACGGGTCATAGCATACAAGAGGCGGAAATGAACGCCGCGTCCAATGCTTTGGAGTCATCGCGAGGTTTGTGTCGACTCTTGTGTTTCAATTGAATACTAATATTAATATTGATTTGAATTTATTGTTAGAATTATTTCCGCAATTAAGTCATCAAAAGAAAGTCATCGAAAGGAGTGTCAAATCAGTCACAACTCAGTCCAAGACGTCGAGAGATAAAAGGAGAGAGAAGTACAGGAAATCGGAAACCAATCGAAACAGAGATCAGAGACAGAGAGGCGACAGGAGAGCGACCAACAGATCCGCCAAATCTGTCGATTAATACCAGCGATTAGTGATTGACACCAATCTCTCGATTAGTCTTATATTAAGAGATATTTATTTTATTTTCAAATACTTTTAACTGAAAAACAAATGATTGTTTCGATGTTTAGTCAGACTTTCGCCGATTCCTTAATGATTATGAAATGAAATGAATGTTTTGAATGAAGTTTTGTAATAAAATGTGTCAATAAAATGGATATATCATATGCATTCATTAGTATTGTATTCATTTAAAAGTAAAATAAATATTATTATACACAAAAATAATGAAATAAATGATTCACATTTTGTCCGTTTATTTTTGTATGTTTTATTTTTTGAAACTAATAATTAGTTTAATTTGTCTAATATCAATATATGAGCCAGGTATTTCCAAAACCAACTAGCACAGAATCCTTATGGATATATGATACTGGACTATGCAGAGGGTATTGCATGAATGAAAGTCCAGTATATACTGTACATTCAGGGTTTTAACTAAAAACCTTTATGATTGTTCATGTCATTCAGTATAAGAATGTGTATGACATTACGAAAAACACTATTTTGTATCTGAATTGAGTGCTTAAGTAAGTTTGTAAATATGTAGATTAATCCTCAGAATGTCTCTAATGATTATACTTTATGTCAAAAGTCGAGGTAATTATAACTACAGAGTTGTGATGACATTAACCTATGTTTCGCTTACACTGTAAGCCATGTCTTAATTCCGTCTAATTCTCGCATAAGAATCGCATAAATAGTATATTCTTGAGTGCATCAGAAGACAATGGAGGGAAAGGCAGACAAATATTATAATGACAAATGTGTCCACTTTTGAACTCCTACTCTAATATAAAGGCTTTACACTCGTTATAACTTATTACTCTAGTAACCGAGAAGAATAAGAAGTTGGCTAAGAATACAAAAAGTAATTTAAATAACAAATAAGACACAAAGTCTGTATGTCACTTCAGCTATTGTGAAACGAAACGTTATGTAAATGTTACTGTTAAGCAATGCGTGAATGAAACTTAAGCTTCACTTCTAAAACCTATGAATGAGTTTCAGATAATCCGTGATTTTGTGAAAATCAAATATTATTGTATTTCCATGTATTGGCTCATCAATGGGTTAATCAGTCATTGACAGCAATAATTGTCTCAAATATTCAATATAAGTATTATAATTACAATACTTTTATCCGTGATTTTGTGAAAATAAAATATTATTGTATTTCGATGTATTGGCTCATCAATGGGTTAATCAGTCATTGACAGCAATAATTGTCTCAAATATTCAATATAAGTATTATAATTACAATACTTTTAATGATAAAGTGTTTATTTATAGATCGGAAAAGTCATTAAAGACTTAATAGAAATGTGAATATTTGCGATGATTTATGTGTAAATTGGTTGATATTTCTCTTATCAAATACATTGAAACCATTTAAATGGCATTCAATTCACGCATTTATTCCCAAAGAATGCTGTCATAAATGAAAAGAATATAATTATTATGAAATTCTTGAAATTCTCGTCATTCTTATCAATACATGTGTTTTGTGTATAAATAGAGTTTGAGTTCACTATTAATGAAATTATACAATAAAAGCACAAATTCTTCACTCAATTCTTGTCAGAAAACTTATATCATATGAAAGACATTAATATTCAATCAATTCATTTGAATACAAGAATTCAAATAAAACTATTTACTGATAAAAAATAAAACAAAACTACTTTTATGAACAATATGTAAATATAATGTAAATATTTTATGCGATTCTTTGAATATCAATGGCTTATGAGGGCACCAGTGGTTGGTCTCCAGAGCCAGTCATAGCATACAGAAGCGAATGCATGGGAACTGTCGTGAGGTTTGACACCGAAATCTCACATCAAATGTTTGATTTGAAACTAATTTTGTCGGAAAATGACTCGAATTGTAAGCACAGAATGAGTGGGAAAAGTAGGACTCAAATGAAAAAAAGAGACACAAAAACGATAAGTAAAACACAAAAACTATTTTTATTAAATAAAAGACAAATCTCTGCCACTCTTTATATTTGATTTCATTCGTCGGTTAGATATAATTCACTATAAATAAAAAGAATAAATGAGGAGTTTACTTCAGGATTTGATTAATAATCTGCTTTTTGATAAAATAGTAAAGCAAGTCTTTGAGACGCTATCTCAACAGGATTTTCAAACAATTTTATAATATATTTAGTCAAATAAAAAGTTTTTATTCAATTCTGTCGAATTGATTCTATAAACAAAATTCTTGTCATACATTGTAATCGAGAATAAAAAATATTATAATTTCATTCAAATTGTCGTCTTATAGTCGGTTCTCAGCTATAAATCCATTGTATTCTTCAGCCAAAGACTACTTTCACTTGATTTGGAAACACATTCACATAATCTGTAAGTGTTTTCTATACAGAATTCTAGCATTGAATTCAATGGGAATGGGATGCGATGTCTGAACGCAAGTGTAGTAACTCTCTGAACAATTGACGTCAATATGTATCCCTATGTTACGACTAAAGCGCAACCGTTTTCTCTCTCTTTCTCTCTCTATCTCCCTCTCTATCCCTAACTAATAGAGAGAGTGTGAGAGAGAATACGGAGAGTGAGGAGAAAAATAACAGTAAACTTCTCAACACTTTCGCCACCAGACGTACGAAAGACTCGCAAAAAATGGTGGAAATTGATTGAAACGGTTAGAGCGATGCCATCCGCACTACCTTTTGGTTAATTATCCACGAGATTA